AAATCTTGAATTTTTTATTTTTAGATGGATTTTCTTTACTTTTTATTACGTAATAAGTGTACGTGAATATATTCTATTTTGTTTCTCCAAGTTGTTTTTAATGTGTAAAAGTATAATATAAGGTGTGGTAGAAAATAGAAAGAGAAGTGATGCGAAACAAAAGTAAGAATCATTTGAATCACAATATCAATAAAGTATATATATATTGTATCCAATCAGCAGCTTCCAATAAGCTATATATCCAACTCCACGCCCCCAGATAGCTATAAGTATATAGTACCTCAAAACTAACCAACAATTCATAGCCATCATCAGTAACATCTTAGTAGGGTTTCCGCCAGTAGTAGTGTTCATTAATGGAGTATTCTCAGGCTAAGTGTTTTTCTCGCCCGATGGGTCATCGCTTTCATCCGACGGACAGGGAAGTGCTCAAGTATCTAATAGGGTTTGTGAGAGACGAGCCACTTCACTCTCAGAATGAACTCATGCCGGTGGCGGATCTCTACGCCGACAAGGAGCCATGGCAGATTTTCGAAGCTTATGATCAGGGAAACAACAACAACAACACTCGTTACTTCATAACGCCGCAGAAGAAAGAGAAACCTACGTGGAAAAGAGTTTCAAGAACTGTCGGGAAGGGCACTTGGAAGCCTCAAAGCAAAGGCCGAGAGGTGTTTGATGATAAAGGAAGACTCATGGGATACGTGAAAAGTTTGAAGTACATCCCCGCTAACAAATCGTCAAACAACGTGAACGGCGAATGGTTGATGACTGAGTACTCTTTGTTTGATCGTTATCTGGCTGCTAGGGAGATTAAGAACAAAGGTTTCGTAATTTGTAAGATCAAGAAGAAGGGCAAACCCGGTGACGAGAAAAAAGGAAACAATATTGATGAGGTAGTTAATGATGAGAATATGAGAGATATTGAAGAATTTATCAACACCGTGTTGCAAGAAGATGTTCAAGTTGAAGACAATGGTATAAGGTTGAATGGTATAGCAAAGCTGGATGATCAAGAGAATAATATTATCCAATATGTAGAGGGAGATCAAGTTAGAGACCATGTACTTGGTTTGTTGGATTCCCCAGAGGATATTGTTGATGTGAATGATCATGAGGAGTATGTTGAAGATTGCGTAGATGAGGGGGATGAAGTTCAAGTCCATTTACTTGAAGAATACATTGATTCCGTTCTGCAATCAGAAGATGTTCAAGCTGAAGACAACCGAATGATGTCGTCGAATGATATTATAGCAAAGGATGATCAAGAGAATATGGAATACCAAGTCGAAGACAATCAACATGCTACATTCTGGGCTTCTGCGGAAGATATCGATCTGGATACCATCAATTTCTTTTAGTTATAGGATATATTTGCTAGATAATGTAGTTTAATCTCAAGCTAGCTCTTAGATAAAGTTACAAACCTGTACTACAATACTTTGATTTATCAATATATTTTGAATTTTTCTTATGTTTCTGTAATACTAGTTTTTAACTAGCTAGGGATATATGGTCGACATATTAAAGATGGCCGTTGATAGTTTATGTAGTACTACCAAAACTTAATACTACTGAAAGTTCTGCCAGAGTTTTTGTTATTCCTGTTTTTAACTCAAGAGAGATAGCGCTCGCTTATTATATTTTGGCGTCGATTCCCTATTTTAGCTGCCTAGTTGGAGTATTCAGTTTTCAAGATTATGTGTGCTAGCTCATTTTGGGAAGTAGTGCTAGTATTAATTAATTAACTATGGCCTAGTTCTTAATTGGTTGATGTTACTTTTACCACTTGCTAATGCTCTACCTTACATTAATTAAATTCTGAATTTTTTCCAAGTTTTTTTAGTAGTGATAACTAATAATCCTACTAGTATGGAATAACAAATGGAGGATTCATGGAGTTAGCAGAAAGAGTGTTTCTTCAAGGAGGAGTTGTAGTGTTTCAGAAAGTTTTACATTGGTGAAATCATCTAAAGATCCACAGAAAGATTTCAGGGAGTCAATGATAGTGGGGAATTATACGAGGGCATCAAAGGATTTGGAAGAACTTCTTGCTTTCTATTTTTCTTTGAATTCAGATGAGTATCATATAGTATATGATCTGGTTTGACATCCATGATATATATATATTGGGCTAAAGTAAATATGAATCTATTAATTCCTTTTCTCATAGACATGATATGTGTGTAAGTGGAAAATCAACCACCAATAATGTGGTGGGACGTGGATGTCATCCTCTGCTCTTAACCAAAGATCTTGGGTGTTTGAGCTTGAGAAATTTCTGGTAGGTTGAGCTCATGGGTGGAGTTAGGGTGGCGGAAAGACGAACCCCTTTGACGGAAAATTACATTATGTATATAAGGTTAAAATTTGATGTAAATAGTTTTACTTTTATGTTGTTCGCATTTATCAATGTACTACTCTTTGAAGATTCGGACATAAGATTTTGCTACAGAGAAATGTAATTTCTTTTGGTTTGCTTAATCATGTAAACATTTTAAATTTAGAACTATTTTATTCTTTAAAACTCCTTCTGTTGTGTCTCAAGCAAACACTTCTCACAGAATTTGATCGATTTCACAAGGTTATTCTTTCTCGTTGCCAACATACATAAAGGTTGCAGAATCCTTTTATTCTCCAATTTTAGAATAACCCATACTAATTAAGTGACACCTTAATGAATCTTTCATCCAATATATTTCTGCAGACATTTCATCTTTTATAAAGCTCAATAAAGACGTCAGTCTAATTTAATCCAACTAGTCTCTCGGTACGTGCGTTGCACGTGTATGCCGAATCATATAACACATTGTTTTATCTCTTGTCCAACTACAGTCATCACTAAATTATTTTTATCCCAAGTTCTCCTTATCAAAAAAATTCTGACAAAATTTCTGCAACCAAACAATAAGTTGCCTTAGAGTTCCATGACAGCTCTGTATATGTCTGCCTCAAAAAAATAATTGTGATATCGGAGATCCATAAACCTGACGTTATTGGAGCCGGATGGAGCGGATCCATTGTGCCAACCGATTTGGAAATTAGCCAAAGAAGAGTGGAATTTAACATTATATCTGCGATATCAAATCGTCCCTCGTGACAACAGCTTACAACGTTGACAACTCCGACAAACCTTTACAAATCTTGCGACGAGCAAGAATTTAGTCTGTTCTCGTGAGTCTGGGCACGTGGATCCGAACAGAGCACTTCATCTGAATCTGGTTTATATGATATCGAACACGAAGGATTGCGTGGATTTCCTATGCACCATTGGTTATAACCCCATTGGAATTTCACTGTTTACGAGCTATGGCTAGTTTGGGGAGTTGCCTAGGGGATCTGAACTATTCATCGCTCAATGGAAATGTTGGCGACTGGAAAAACAACCGGGAGGTGCCAAGTTAGAGAAGAAAGATGGGCCCAGTTACATTTGTCAAACTTATAAGACATCAAGTATCTCTAAGTTATTTTTACGTGCCTAATGTAAAGTGAGAAACACATAATATTCCATGACACCTAATGTGTTTAATAAGCACAGTTTTAAATAGCATAAAGTGTTCAATAGGTATTAGGTAAAGATAAGCTGCCAAAATGGATTTTCATGCCAAGTTTAAGTGGTTGTCTATGTATTTGGCCATTATGAAAAGCATACTTTGCTATAATGATAACAATTTATCTGTCAATTCCACAAAATAGGAATGAATCATGAAACAACAGATAATTATAGAAAATTATTGTGCACCTGGCTGTATTAAGAAACATATTATTCAAATAGTAACCTTTGTCTGCAACAAATTTTGTACGTAAAGAGACCAAAAAGAAAGAATACCATACTATAGGGATCTTTGCGCATTATTAGAGTGCACCGTCTTCAAATTCTATCTCAAATCCATTTAGATCCACAGAATTATTTGTTGCTTGCCTGATCCAACGTAATCAGATCACTGGACCAATGGCAGATCCAATTATAAAAATATTTTTCTTTGTCTTTGCAATGGATAAAAAAAATAGAAGCACAATCATATATAACACTAGAAATCAAACTTTTGCGCTCCAAATATTATATAGACACAATTATAGAGAATATCAACATGCATCACAATAAATAGAAGTAAAAGATGTCTAATTAAAATATGATATTAAGATATTAAATTAAACTGAGTTATATTAACTATGACTACATAACCATTTCTACGGCAGACAATAGATTTTCGGGATATGAAACCTCATAAGCTCCTTTCCTGTAACTCGTTTTTGCACATGCTACATGCATGTGTGTGATTGCCATTGCTTAAAGGCTCAAAGAGTCCCACGAACATTATCCTCTTCCCTTTTACCATCTTGATCAGAAAATTCAGTCCTTCAGATCCGTTAAGAGAAGTCCAAAGACAAAAGGGAAAAAGAAATTCTACGAGGATGTTAGTGCAATTAAAATACCATAAGATATACGTAAAAATTGATGATAAGCACTTGAGCAATTCACATGCTGCGGGCTTCCATTCGTACTTGAGATAAAGTTTATCTGGGCGACCATTTCCTTGGCAACCAAATATTTCTTTCACAAATAGAAAGGAGATATGAATTGTATTAGGAAAATAAATAATTATAGATCTAACTATCATGTAAAAAAATCACAGGAGGTTGCTCGTAATCCTCTTGAATGACTTAAATGCTTTAGTTGTAGTTTTGTAATGTACAATGAATATTTCTTTCTCTAAATATATATATATATATATATATATATGAACTTGAAGTTCAAGTGATAATTCATTTGCAAAATATTTCCATGCACATTTGTTGATCCAAACTAAATGTCATATTTCAGCTACTGTTCCAAATAGAATAAAGTCCATGATGGACATAGTCTATGGAACGCATGAAGCATAATAGACTAATCGGTTCTAAAGATAAAACTCCTTGAAGAAGGAGAGGAGCAAATGTTCAAGATGGTCATAATAAGGAGGCAAGTGCTATATAAGAGCACCATGACATAACACTTCATAAGACCTCATGGGAGAGGTTCAGGTACCTGAAAATAATGAGATCTCGATAAGTTATGTCTTTATTGTGCAATGATGGAACCGATGTAAAATGATTGTCGACGATGTTGTTAACATATTGTAGCGCTCAATATTATTAATATTGACGAGGATCTTGAGCTCATATCTGTCATGGAATTTGGACAGATAAATGATTGGCCAAATGAAAAATATGCAATGAAAATTGACTTGTTCTGAAAAATATGAAGTTGGACGAATAGTCCCAACAGCTGAAAGAGATATTGAAATATGATTAGTATTATATTGCAAAAAGGAATCCTTGATATAGATTTGTTTATTCTAACAAATATTATCAAGGTTTTGTTGGTTATACAAATGCAGGGCATAGTTCGTTGTTCAAACAATCTATTTCCATGTGAGGACGTGCGACTTTTCTTTGAAGAGACGATTCCAATAATACTGAAGATAATGTTGTTTGCTTATATCAATTGGAAGAAGGATATATTGAAGGCAACAAAATAAAGCACATTTCACCAAATTTCTTTTCAGACATGATCTTCAGCAGATTGGTGATATAGACGTTCAACAAATTTATTTGATTGATAATTTGGTGGATCTGTTCAATGAATCATTACCAACCTAGCATTTGAGAAGCTGGTATACGGGACCGGAATGCGTCATTTCCGAAAAGTAAAGTGATGTTTTCATCAGGGGGAGTAAGATACGCGTTGCACTCTTTTTTCCTTAGCTGAGGTTTTATCCCACTGGGTTTTCCTAGCAAGGTTTTTAACGAGGTAGCAAACAAGCGTTAGTTCATTCTCGAGTTCTTGAATCGAGTGTAGTGGAATGATGAATTTATTTCTTCGCCTTTTTGACAATAAATCAGAATTCTCGTGGAGAATAGGCGAATATACGAGATTATACTGACCAGCACATATGATTTGATTAAGGTCTGAATAATCAGGAATCCTATCTTCTTTTTTACCAGAAAAATCCGAACTAAATAATTTCTGCCTCGCCTGATCGTTGGTTACTGAGAGGTTAGAAGTATATCTTCGCTTGCCAGAAAGAGAATGCGCATTCATTTGATCCTGATCCTTGTGGATCGAAAGGTAGACTAGACTGGACCTGCACGGCCCTCCTAATAATATCCATAAATGGCTTGTTTTTGGTAATAGATGAACATTACCGTATGTAAATTCGGGTGCATGATAGACATCGGTACTCCAGTGCATTTCTCCGTCTGAATCAGAATAAATATGTTTTCGAACCTTCTCTTTAAAATTCAAAGTGGATATTCCTGCGCGAATCTCAGCAATTACTTGTTCTGATTCTACATATTGATCGTTTTGAACTAAAAG